AGAATATTTTACCTACGTTTGTTTTTACGTTTTTGCTGTACAGGGTGGGGGTTGAACCATATGATATTTCTTTTCCTGTTGGCCTTTGTATATATATATATATATATATATATATATATATATATATATATAATATAAACAAACACTTTCTGTTTTTAGTGCAGATTTATTCAACGGCTGTAATATATATATATATATATATATATATATATATATATATATATATATTTTCTCGTTTTAGATATCGAATCTGATAAGGTAATTTAATTTATTGTTTCTCTTGTCCTCAAAGATCACAACGCAATTTCCTTACACACAGTTTTGTCTTTTATTCTGCTGTGAAGTAACCGAAATTAACACGGCGAAATGCGTCGTTTATAGCGTTTCGATTTTATCTCATTTCAACATACATATATATTAGTGTGGAAACTGAGGTCAACACCAAGTGACGACTGATTCTTTCATGCTTGAACGCAAACTTCATGGTCTGAAGATTGTGTTCTAGCATGAACCAGACTGTCGCCACTTAGTGTTGACCACAGTGTCCACTGATATTTCTACACTCTCTATCTCTGATATTGAGCACTTTATATATATATATATATATATATATATATATATATATATATATATATGAATGTAGTGCAAACGAAAATGATATATAAATTCTAACGTTCACACCATTAATTAAAAAGGGGGTTCAATACTGATAGTAGACCAATAATTATTTATTATAATCTTTTTCATACAGACAAAAACAATTTACTCACTACAAAAGATGCAACTTCGTTTCAGTGCATTTAAAATTGCACTTCGCCTGGTGAGGGAATTGTTCATAACCATTTTAATTCTCATAAGTCGAAGTGCAATTTTAAATGCACTGAAACGAAGTTGCATCTTTGTAGTGAGTAAATTGTCTTTGTCTATGTGAAAAATTATAATATATATATATATATATATATATATATATATAGAGAGAGAGAGAGAGAAAAGATAGACAGAGAGAGATAGAGAGGGTGTAATTCGACTACAGTATTTGAAAAAATAAAAAATAGCTGAATGAAATATAAATTATTTTTTTAAAATTAAAATCAAGCAATATTATTAGCAACCATTTTTAATGTAAATTTACCATCTTTCGTCATCGCATTGTAAATAAAATAAAGTCAAAATAAAGTAAAAGAAAAATGGGATATAAATGAAAATATTTTATTATCAACTCTAACAATAAGTAAAATTAATATTTCTGAACAGATGAGTCACCATTGCTAATGGAAATCTATAATCTTTCATGAAAATTGCGAATAGCATTTCAAGTGTTATACACTCTGCCTCTTTTTCAAATAAATTCTTTGCATCCAGAAATGTTTCGGTTTTCTGTTGTTTTTTGACGTACAGTGGCTATTATTGATTAAGTATAACTCAAGACTTCAATGTTACATAAAACAGTATTTAATTACAATTGTAAGTAAATACTTAACAAGAACAAAAAGTAAAAGTCAACAGAAGATAATTAGCCATTTCAGTTAGTAGCACCGCTATTTATACACCTGGCGGAAAACATATATTCATAAGTCCAGAGTGTCAGGCTCGAACCTCATTTTCTTCGTATATGATATGTTGCAAATTCCATTCTTAATATAATCCAAACGATATATATATATATATATATATATATATATAGATATAGATATAGATAGATAGATAGATAGAGAGAGAGAGAGAGAGAGAGAGAGTATTGTGCTATTAGGGCACCTTGCTGGTCAAGATCAGTTGTCTTACTCTCACAAGTCATATTGATTTGGTCATTTTCTATCCAAAAATCTTTTTGACGACACATGAGTAATGTACAGGTGAACCTTTCTTTCCTTCTGGAAGAGTTGTGGGGAATGTCTCCATAAAAATGTTCATTTTGCAACTCCAGACGATATCGTATTGGGATTGTGTGACCAATTGCTTCTGTCAGTAGTCCACTGTCCCCGTAGCCTCTGTATTCATTGATATATGAAGATAAAAGAAGGTGGTATTAAAAATATTCCTGCGTACGTGTTCCCGCAATTTCAAAAGTGGAATAAAACCCACGATTTTTCAAATAGTGAAAGCATGTAAACCTATTTAATTTGGTGTATTTGAGTGAAGAAAGCAATAACTTAAGACTCGGTTTGTGCAGATTACTCTGATGAAAACGAATCCCGATAAAGTTCTATTTTTAAGATGTATATCAGTTTTGGCTTGAGGAATGAAAAACAATTTATTAATTTTTGCATAGAGTGAATTCCATTTCCAAGACACAACCTGGATTTCGACTTCCTCCTATTTAGAAAACATTCTCCCTACCTCTTCATCACTTGGATTTATGACAAACGAATCAAAGGTTAGTTTATAGGCACGGATTTGAATATAATGTTTTTCTCTCCCCAGCTTTCTATTTGATAAACGATGAATTTCAAGGGTTATTTTCTCTACAGTCAGGTATTTATCAGGGCGCCCACGTCACTACCGAGTGTCAAACAAATTCGAGGTTTAATGTGTGTTTACCGGCAATATCGAGGAAAAATTGCTCAAGCCCCTCGGCACCTCACCACTTGGGGAAGCCTCAGGCATCGGGCAATGACCCCAGCCGCCACCTGCAGGAGAGACACTGGCCGGAAGAGGGGGTCATGAAGTAATATTATTTTAAATTTTCCCGCCAGAAGTGAGCGATCATTAGTTTCTTTAAAACGTTTGTGCTATTTGAAACCCAACTTCTCCGATAAGAGCTTTTCAACCGAAATCGTTTTACCTCAATGCAAGTGGGGTTTTTTTTTTTTGGGGGGGGCTTTTAACTGTAATGAAGAGGCACAGTCTAAGAAACGAATCTCCGCTGCCAAGTTATTATGTTCAACTTAATATTTACTAATATTAATTATTAATTTATTAATATTTAATATTAAGTTTACCTTAATATGAGACAAACACAAATGTATATGAGGAAGTTGAGGAAGATTGTGTCACGTCAATCTTTCAAATGGAAAGATCCTGTCTAACTAGGAATTCAGTATTGCAGCTGGGTTTTTCCTTTACATGGGCTTGAACACCGACTTGTATTTTATCATAGATTCACAGTTACCTGCAGAGGACACCAAGCGTCGAACTGTAAGCCACGTTCTATTCTTGATAGCTTGTTGGTAACATTCATTTTTACGAATTTCTTTCTTATGTACAGTCATTCCTGAAATGGTCGGGGGCGCAACAAAAAAAAAAAAAAAAAAAAAAAAAAGAAAAAGTAAAAAAAAAAGAAACAAACAAAAGCGGTTGGATCTGCGCATGCGCAAATGCAACCAGTACGCAATTAGGTGTGCCAGCTGAATCAGTTATCTTCTTTTCTTTTGTCGGTTTTTCAAACCCCGTCCCTCAATCTCTTCTTTACTTTCCTAACTTCCTTTTGGGAAATTTTTTCTTTTCTTTTTCTTAAGTTTTCAGTTTATTCATTTTCTTCAGAATCTTTCCAGATGGTGTTAAAGTGAATTCTCTTTTCGTAGACGATTCAAAAAAAAAAAAAAAAAGAGAGAGAATAAAAGTTTCTCCCGACCAGTCCGATGTCGCATTTTTATGAATTGAACACTTTTTTGTTTCATCTTTCTGTTGCGTTTCAGGTCTGGATACGTCAACTTTCAGTAAGAAATGCCTTTTAATAAACATCAAGTGTTAGGGACTGCACCGGAAAAAAGTCCAGTAGGTCTGTTTTTCATATTGTTTATATATTTTAAATGCTTTTCAATGGTGTCTGGAATATACACTCCTCGCCTTTGTGTCGGAAATTTTAGCATGCATCTTGGAATGAAACGAGGAAATTGGAGTGGCTGTTTGTTTTTTTTTTTTTTTTTTTTTGGTCAAAATAGCGTCCATAATATATTTTATTAGTAAAAGCAAATAAAAGTTTTTCTAATTAAATAATGTCGTAGTTTTATTACCTTTTATATTTTACAATTCAGAACAGATTTTCTATAATTAGGGGTCCTTTTTTACAAAAGAAAAAGATGATTTAAATTTTCTGAGGACTCGTTCTTATAACAAATGTAAACATTAAGCGATACAAAAAGAATTTCTCAAAATTTCATGAAATTAAATGAGTGGGATTAGCAGATATAAAACAAGAAGATTTTTACTAAGATTTTCTAAAAATAATTAAAAAAAAAATAATTTCATCTATTTTTGAATAAGTCATGAAAGTTCCTTTAAAATTCGATAATTATCTGATTTTTGCAAGAATTTCCAAATCAATGCGTTTTTCAGCGTAAGAAATTAGGTCCTCTTACCAAGTGAAATCAATGCCTGTTCTGGAGATGTTGAAAATAATTTTAAACTTCTTGGCAGACCGGGTAGATTATTTGGAATGGCTAGACTTCCTTAAAGATGAAGAAGAGACTCGGAGCGACACTAATGTGGTTCTACAAACGAATCCTGGGAATATCATGAACAGATCACGTGAGCAATGAGGAAGTATCTAAAGAAAATTGGAGCTAGAAGGGCGATTATACTTAAAATCAGAAACAGTTGGCATTTCTGGAACAAATTATGAGGAAAAGAAGGCTTGGAAAATTCAACACTAATTTATTGAAAGCTGAAAGGAGAGAGGAAAACAAGGAGTAAGCTACCTACCTGTGAATGGATGGCAGAGCATAGACAAAGACGGGTGGTAAAGATAGTAAACTTCCGGTTTCTTGTTGCTTTAAGCAATTAGAGACCGGAAGTTGTGGGGAGCCATGTTCACCTACGCCCTGAAGGAACACCGTACATACATGCGTGTGCATACACACATGCATATATTTCTTCTTTTAAGACTTTGAAGGTCCTTTTTTTCTTCTATAGATTCATAAATTCCCGGGCTCATTGTGTGTTGGTAGGGACGAATGTGACACGCTCTGCGCGTAAACAAATGTGAAGAACCCAACTGGATTTCGAACTCGGCTCTCTTATTCTGATCCGTTATCTATTAAACTACTTACATCTAAGCTTAGAGCACCTAGTATTTTCAAGTAGTCACCCATTTAGGTACTGACCAGGCTCGACGTTGCTTAACTTTGGTGATTGGACGAGAACCGGTGGTTTAACGTGGTATTTACCTCACATTAAATAAAAAGAGAAAGAGATTAAAAAATTCCAACGCATAATTTTATGGTGTAATATTACATGCTTAGCTGGAGATTTGGTTTCGAATTTGACTGAAATTTCCCATTTAATTAAAATAACTTTTTTTTTATAAGTAGGATAACTATTTTATCATTATTTTGTGATTGATTGTTGAAACTATCATCAGAACACTGACTCCTCTTTTATAGCATTTTCGACATCGCTGGCGTCACCATGGCACTCCTTCTGCCATCGTGTTTTTACTACTTCCACATCATCATCGTCATCATCATTCGCTACGACAACTACGGGCATTACTACTACTACTACTAAAATAATTATTATTATCATCAACGTCATCATTTGAAACCCTGGTTCTTCAAGGTCACGATTATTGTCATCAGTCTTACCCCACCTGCAAAAACTTGTTAAATTCTCACCGTTTCTTTATTGGATCCAAACTGCTCTTTTTCTCTCTGGTTCACTCAACCTCGATGTCAATTTCATCTTGCCTCGTTTTCGATTCTCTCAACACTTGATTCGTATCTCTTTTCTGTCTCGGACGCCGATAAATCAAACTCAATCAGCAACAACAGGTTATCTTGGTAAACATAGGGGCATTACAAAAACAGCTTAAGCGAAATATAAATACTTCCCTTCCCTAAGAATATCCATAGATGTTAATGACTATATGAATAAAAGATGTAGCCTGAAAGACGCAATAAAAGTGTACCACACACACACGTGCACGCTCGCACGCACGCACGCACAAACACGCATAAACATGCACACACACACACAGATAAAAAAAAAGCCTGTACAGAATACGAATTATCTGCGTTACTTGAAGTGTGGATCTTGCATAAAATAACCCAATTCTGTCAGTAGCGCTTGCGTTATTTCCAGGCTATTGAGAGTTCCTATTTCTCTTTTTGACAATTCTTTACTATAGTAAATAATTTACAACCCATTTCTATAGTAAATAAGTTACGATACATTTCTATAGTAAATAATTTATAAATACATTTCTATAGTAAATAATTTACAACCCATTTCTATAGTAAATAATTTACAACCCATTTCTATAGTAAATAATTTATAATACATTTCTATAGTAAATAAATTACAACCCATTTCTAATTACACTATTAAATTTACATGCGGGCCATTGTCCTCATCTTTGTTGTTATCACAACGTTTCGGCCGTTGTTCTTTCCGAACTTCAACAGTTGTATACCGACCCGGGTAACCTACCGGGAATTCCGAACTGAATCTACGGGGGCAAACTGATCTTGCTCCACTGCCCAGAATACCGCCGTAAATTAAATAAAGGTTTCATTTAGGAATTCCCTGTAGGTTACCCGGATCGACACTCACCTGTAGAAGGTCGGAGGACACAATGGACGAAACGTTGTAATAGCAACAACAAAATGAGGACAATAGTCCGCATGTAAATAATGATGATAACTCCTTATCCCAGAAATTCGGACTGAAATGCATTTCTTTCCTAAAATTACTCATAATAATTTTCTGTGGGAAATTCGCGAGTAATGTTTATATCATACAAACAACAGCTGGAATTTATAAGTCATGCTTGCATTAATTCCTGACGATCGACAATACATTTTTCATCATTTTCAGAGCATAATATACAAGTTGTGGAAGAAACATGTTAAATTTTAGGTAATAAAAAAATTAAAAATCTGGGTGTTTAACGATAAATCTTTAGATATCAGGTTGTTCATAATATATTATCCCACATAGTTTGGTATTTTAAAATTGCATGATGTACTTAAATGACAACGATATAAATTATATTTAAATAGCACCATTCCATTATACACAGGTAGCGTATCAGTTATCAGCGCAGAAATGAGAATCGGTGACTCAAGTTCAAATTCCAGTCTAATCTGTTGCACTCACTTTAAAACAAAATGCTCTTGACTCCATGTCTTCTCCCCTATCAGCTATGGGAAAAATATAGAACTGTCTAGACTTGAGAGCCAGTCAGTCTAGAAGAATCATGCTGAATTCAAAGCCGTGTAGAAAACCAACGGGGAAACCACTTTCCTAACTCATCATGGCAATTTACAGATAATAAAGTAAAGGAATCTGTGGCGAGCCATGATCCTCCACGACTTGAAAGCAGGAACTCCTACAGAAGATAGTAAAGGAAAGCGAGAACAAAGGACTAAGCATCAATTGTAAGAAGACAGAATGTATAGTTTTCAGCAAAAAGCAGAACTTGACATACGCATTACAAATTCGAGATGCCAAAATAAAGCAAGTGCAACAAATTAAATATCTATGAAGTGTTTCAACAAGAGAGAGAAAATTGATACGGAAATCCGAAGTGCGCAAGATGCTTTACAAAAGTATAAAGAAACAAGAAATATCTCTTTAGAAACAAAGAAAGGATGACTTAACTGTGATATAATATCGGCCATCTTATATGAATAAGTGAATGCAGTACAATCTTCTCGCAGATGAAGAAGTTAAGGCAACAGAAATGTAGTTCTACAGAAGGATGCTGAGAATACAATGAACTGAACATGTGAGCAATGACGAAGATTTCGAAAAATGGAAACAAAAACGGACACATGCTTAACATCAGAAAGAGACAGTAGAAATTCCTAAGACATATAATGTGGAACGAGGACTAAAAAAAATGGATACTGCGAGAACATATTGAGAGTAGAACGTAAAGAGAAGAGCAGTACATAAACCTACCTAACGAGCTTGCGTAAATGGTTGGCAGAACAGGCATTGAGCAAGGTAGCAAAAAAAAAAAAAATTATTAAGAGCTACAAAGGACAGGAAATTGTGGAGAGCCATGATCGCATACGTTCTGAAGGGACATGGCACAAAGAAGAAGAATACATAAATCATACATTTTTTAATAATATGATATCCATTAAATCACGCCCATTTCCGTGAGATGTAGAAGATAATTAGGTAATCGGCATTTGCTTGGATTGAAACCTCATCTAAGGACACTGGAATAAAGATTCTGACTCATGTACCGGCTGAAGTACGTCTCTCTTTTCCTAAAGTATAATCTTCCTTTGGAGTTGATGGAACGGGGACACACCAGACATAAATGGCGCCGACAATATCCATTTTTATCGACTAGTGGTAACAACTCAAGGAGCCAACATTAGCAAAACATTAAGCCTACAATGTCATATCTTGGGTTGTTTGTCATTATTTCACAGAGCATCATGTCGCTCGAATTTAATACAAACAGACCATTACCCCAGAATAGATCCAATGACGCCTTTCAGCAAAACTACGCAAAGAGATTTAGAGTAATGATTTTATGAAACGACTACAAACACCAACCACTTGTGACTGTTTCTCCCAAAAGAAGATTCATCAGATAATTTAGAAACAGGCAATGACGGCTTTCACTTTGCAGATGACATCTTTGTAAAATTTACGCTGGCCTCAGTTGTTGTTCTAGCTCAGATCAGAATAGTAATAGTAATCGTAGGATTAGCTGCTTCCTTATAAGGAAACATTCGGCATTTGTGGTTTGAACAGCTGGCGCTACTGTAAGTTGAATTTTATAAAATATTTCTCTTAAAATAGTTTCTCATGAAAATAGGTTTATCAAGTTCACTAACTGTTGTCACTCTTCCTAGTATTGATGGGAGAAATAATAATAATAATAATAATAATAATAATAATAATAATAATAATAATTAGTTGTAAATAACGCTAAGTATTTTCAATGATTTCAGTGAATAAATAACTGAATATACTGATTGGATATAATTTTATGCAAACAAATAAGTTTTCAATAATCATGTATTTAAAAAAATATACTCCGATAAATAATATCACTGCTTTCTTTAAATTAATCAATAAGTAAAATATTATTTATTTTTTCAATTTACGGTGATATTTCACTTAATCATATTTTCTTAAAAATAGTTAACATTAATAATATTATTATTATTTTATTTCCTTTGATTTCTGGTGTGTACACATATCTTTCCGGGTCCAACCCATAGACCTAAGGTTAGAAATGGCATCATGATATTTTCCACTGACCAATTAAAATAAAAAAGAAAGAAAAAACACATACGTATTTTACATAGATAAAGCCCTTCGTAAAGTGTGGGCTGTACTCGTGAGAACAATTTTTTTTGTATTTCTTTAAGGCACGAGCTTCCAGGAATCCCTTCAATTAGTCTACTGGAATCTTTTCCAACCAATCCGAGGACTCCAACTACAACAGGGATTGTTGATGTTCCCATGTGCCACATCGCTGAGATTTCTATTTCAAGGTCCTTGTATTTTGACAGATTTTTGAAGATCTTCAAAGAAACATTGCAGTCTGCAGGGACTGCCATATCAATAAGGAGGCAATTCCTTTGTTTGCGGTCTCTAATAACAATGTCTGGGCGGTTAGCTTTGATTGTTCTGTCCGAGAGTATTGTGTAGTCCCATAAAATTGTAACAGGTCCTATCTCTGTAACCGTAAATATTATTATTATTATTATTAGGCATTCAGTAGTGTACCCCATTCCTGGATCTTTAAATATATACACGGTATCACCCGTCATCTATTTCATCAAAGTATGTCTATATGAAAAACAACACTTCACCTCAATCATATAAATGGAATCTATGTTTGGTGAAATAAACATCAACAGAGGAATATTTCAGTGTGACTATTTGTCTCCCTTACTATTTAGTATATTCTCAGTATCATTAACCAACGAACTTAACAGACGGAGTATGGCTATAAGATATCTGAAAAGAAAATAAGCCATCTGTTTTGCACGGATAACTAAAGTTGTATGCTACGAATGACAGAACTAAAGAAGGGGTGCGACTGCTATTAAGAACTGAATTGAATTCTCAGAACAGGATTATGGCCATTAATAGCCTTACCATTCCAGTGGTTCAATATATTTTCAACATCATGAAGTGGACACTAAATGATATCAGACGAATGAATTCTAAGGCAAGAAA